ACCCATTGGTGTGTGGAATAAGGTTTTGAAACCTTGTGTTTGAGATTTAACTGTTGGCTTCTTGGAAGTGATGAGTGAAAGGTGAATCTGTAAACTGTGTGGAGAAGATGTAGGCAGCCACTTTAGGATCACCTGCTAGGTGCTTGACATGAGATTTGAAGCCTTGAGAATACCATTGTGCCTATTGACTGTTAAATATCTGGAGGAACTACAATATGGACAATGCACAAGCTGTAGAGTCGAGTCCAAATTTGCAAAACGATTACAAACCCAATCAGAACGTGATTTCTGAAGTATGAAGTCAAATTAGAAACAGGATGATTTTTTGATTAAATTTTTTATAGACTTTGGATACATGCTCCTGTGGATTAATAATACAAAAAAATTAATAATACAAAAAAAAAAGTAAAGTAAAGTGCTATGTGTTGTCATCATTGTATGTTCCCACACAAAGATGAAATTGGCTCTCTGCATTTAACCCATCACACCTGGGATACACCCAGGTGGAGCAGTGGGCAGCTATGTAAGTGCCCGGCGAGCAATTTGGGATTAGGTGTCCTGCTCAGCGACACCACAAGATGTGCGATGACCGGGGGTTGAACCCAGGGCCTTCGGGTCCCTAGTCGGCTGCCGTGCCCCTACACCATCTCAGGCCCACTAAGATATAATGATATCTTTTCGAGGATACTTCCATGCTGGTGTCAATTTACGCTGATGATTTTCCTTTGTCGATCCATCTTTTATTTTATTTTTTTTTTCACTTTTTCTGTATCCTCTTTAAATTTTCCCTTGCACTAGTTGACCTCTCTGTATGCACCGCAGAAGTCGAGGATGAATCATTGTGGTGCCTATTAGAGACCTGTATATTAATCAAACTGTATGAGGTAAGCTCTCTAGGGTGACTGCTTGTGCACACAAGTCACATGCATCTGTAAAAGCTGAACATTTTTGCACTGTGAAGCATTTTCATAACACACAAACTACAGGGCATAGTCTTGACCACATGCAGTGTTTTGCAAGTTAATTGGCGAGTCACGTTGAAGAACTGTACCCTTTAATTTTTTTACAAATTGGATCATTTCGTCTGTTGCAATCCCCTTGTGAATGTTTTATTTTAGAATGCAGCAACGTTTAAAACTGTATGCAAATGTATTGACATTTGAACAATTAAGGAGGTCCTGATTTCTGTGGGTGTTAACTGCAGCTCAGAGGGCTTTTGTACAGCTGTGATTTTGCAACAATGGACAAATAATAGGTATCCACAATATGTGTCCCATTAAAACCATGCTAAAGTCCTTTAATGCATAGTTTTGGTAGGCAGAGCTTTTGATAATCCATACTAAAGGGTATCAGAGCTTGGCATAAATTAACTTTTTACATTAATGGGGGGATAATGAGGAGTCTTCTCTGGGAATACCTCATTTAAATCAATTTAGTCATCTCACTTACAAGAACCAAAATAGGAATATTTAGTTTTATGAGTTCCTTTTTGCCAAAAGGAAAACAAGCACAAAGCCATGGCTAAATGAGCAGATTATAGAGCTGCTGGATAAAGCCAAAAGAGAGACTTACTGACCCATTTAATGTCGACTTTCAGAGGAGCTTCATGTTGGATGTGACCCCATTCATTCCCCCTATAATCCTACAAGAGATGATCTTGTCTCTACACGGCCAACATTATTGGAGGTGACAAAAACCAAACTGCCTGTTGTGCACCATCTTAACACCACATCAATGTCTTGCACTTCATGATAGCAAAATACAGTTGCTTATGTGTATACTAGACAAACACAGGGTAATTTTTACATCATCTGTATCTCTTCAAAAACTCCCCTATTGACTCAATTTCTCCACGTGGTTTCAAAGTCCCTTGAACAAATCTGCCGTATGTATGAAACAAAAATGAGAATTTGTAAATAGTTTACTTACAACTCTTGCCTTTTGTAAAGCCATAAATATATGGACATCATAGAGAAAAAAAAAGTCACAAAATTTTGAATTGCCAATTAATCTTATACGTATTTCTAGATTATGGAAAGAAGCCAGAGCTGCTAAAGATAACCTGCACTTGAGAAGGCCTGCACAGCAGAGATCTGAATCAGAGACTTCCTTGAAGTGATTTTACAGCAATTATCACTACGCTACCATGCTGTTCTAAGACTGAAAGCTGTCAATCATTATTATACAGTAGTCACTCATTTATCGCGGGGGATCCGTACCCTGAAGACCTGCGATAAGTGCAAAATTGCGAAGTAGGAGTAGTAGTACAAGTAGTAAGCAGTAGTTTATTTTATTATTTACATACATATATATTAAGGCATTTTAAACTATTCCCACACTCTTGCAATATTCTAAACAACGTTTCTAAACTCTGAACACTCTAAAAGAGCACAGAATGCCATGATTTCAGCTCCCTTCCTCCTCTGCTCTTTGCCACCTGCAAGTACCTTGGCCACGCCCACTTCTCCACTCTGCAGCTGAACATCCGGTCAGCTGTTTAACTGCAGCAGGAAGTTCATCCTGCAGTAAGGCTGCACAGAGCTGCAGGAGGAAACTTTTTCTGCTGCTCTAGGCTGCACAAATGTGTAGCAGGGGCTAAATAATTTAAAATAATTTATATAAAAAAATATATATATCATGCCTATCATGTGGCTCATCCATCAATCAGCCAGTTGTGTGTCATGTCCAATCTTATTTTGAAAAACCGCGATAGAACGAATCCATGATAAACGAACTGCGAAGTAGCGAGGGACTACTGTAGCTGTTTTGCTTAGTTTGTTCTTGCATTGATGAGGAACTGTTGCTAATGTTTTTGTACATGTTTGTTCATCGCATCAATTGGATCGTATGTATCGCTCATATTCAGGATGATGCTCTTTGCAAGTGAACTTTTTGCTATACTTAGGTCATTTGAGTTTTAGGTACACTAAAATGTTCTATTTGTTTTCTTTCATTTTTTCTTTTGTTGTAATGCTGAAACCCGAATAAACTTTGTCACAAAAGTCTTCTGATTACTTGTTTCAGTGCCCAGTGAAGCAGGCAAAATAAAAAAAACGAACATCAAGCTAAGAGAGGGCGTCCTGTGACAGCCAGAAAAAAAAGTGCCATCATTTATGTGTCAACATCAGCCATGTGGGAGGACAAGTTTATTGACATCTTGATGATCATCCTGGACCACTCTCCCTTGCTCTCATCGACTTCAGCTCAACATATATTAGTCAGCAGCAGGGCTAGACTCATGTTCCATTTGTCAAGAAGAGAGAGCAGAGTCCTTGTTGACATTAAAATAAAAATGTGCATGCCGGTGCTCAAATACAGTATGTCAGGTAGCATTTGTAATGTTTCTAAGCATACTCAACAGAACAAGAAGTGGACTTATCTTGATGGCTGGGAGGTCTCACTCACACTGGAGTGTTTTCAATGCACTCAGGCACAATGCACACTAAAAGGTGGATTGTGATGATATTTTGGGGTAGATCAGTTTAAAGCATCTGATTTTGCTATCAGTGATCTGTGTCCGTTCAACAAACGAACAAATCGATTGACCATAAAATCTGGTTGTACATAGCTGAATCCATATCAGCAGAGCTATAAATAAATGATGTTGCTCCACTTCTGTGTAGTCAGCTTACAGCATATAAACATCAAAGGTCATCCTAAGTATGCAATAATTTTATTCTTGCAAGAGAAGGAAATATATATTATGACCACATGCGGAGGCATATCCTAAAACTTTGAATTACATGTTCTAATTAGCAAAGTTTCAGCTACTTTGTAAAGGAGTATAAAACGATTTCTTGAACAAGACAAAAAAAAAAAAGACATTTTCATGGATTATTCTAAATTTATTACTAAAGGGTGCTTTTTTTAATTCAAAATGTCCCTTGCTATCTTATCAAACATTCAAAAGTGAAAAAAAAAGATTATAATTGTTGAAGTGAATTTTCTGAATATTATTTCTGCTCTGAAAGTGGACAGCATTCGTTGTCCCAGTGAAGCTTGCCTTATTCTGCCTATACTGATGCTGTTCCACTGACTGAATCCAATTTAGCAGCCCCAGCTCAAGTCCTATCAATACCAAAGTGGACGAGCAAACATTAATAAATATTGAGCTCTTTGATAATCTTTGGAAAAGTTGGGTGACCTCTGTGGCTCATCACTGACTGCACTGAGTATTACGTGGGCTTAGGACTCTGGGTGTGAAGGGGATTAGGGTAATTACTGTTATTATATTCCAGTGTAAGGGCTATCACAAACCTAGGTTAGCTATTGCTCAGCTCTTGACAGCTAAATTAAAAACATGTGCAGCTGACGTGACCCTGGGTGATTGATCCTTCTCCCCCGTGCGTGTCTACTTTCTCTTTCTTAGTCAAAACCTTAAATCCTTATGCTCTCGTTTCAGGATGTGAAATGCTGTTTTTTTTCCTTCCTTTTCTTCTTTTTAATGGCCAATGGAGATTAGAAATTTCAGCATCATGTGGGGAATGATCTGACCTTGCCTCAGGCCAGACTTTGCACCTGACCAAGCAAGCAAGCATCCCTCCAAAAGTGAGAATATATATTTCCCCTTTCTCCCTATCTCACTCTGTCTTAAAATAAAATAAATAAATAAATAAATAAATAAAACAGCAACATGCTAGCAGTGGTCCCTGGAGCCTTTGCACAAGGGACTTTGGGAATGCAGGAATGGCAAACCTCTCCAAATCCCCCAGATACAGATCCCTCATGATATGGTAACTGGCTTTGAGGTGTTGTTTATCACAGACCCCTGTTCACTTCAAACCCCCCAAGATGCTTTCATATACTCAAAAGTTTCCCATAACATAGCTAACACATATTAGATTCTAAATTAAAAATCAGTCAACTATGACACCTGACACATGGATGGGGAATAACAAAGGAATATCAAAGTGCACTTGAACAGAAACTAAAACTACCATCTCAGCAATGGAGTTTAAAATTGTACTTTTGACAAGAAAAACAAAAGGAAGGGTTCTTACCATGCGGTGAATCGGGTGGGCCAAACTCCAAGTTGTATCTCAGGACATAAAAGTTATCCCACACATAGAGCTGGTTATCTCGGGGATTATAATCCACAGCTGCAATGTATTGGTACTGGTTGGGAAAGTGGATATCAACGTATTCCCCACGGTTCAGTTTAGTATTGTAAATATAATCTATAAGGCTCTTGCTGACCTCACTTTCATTGTCTTCATAGGTGGAGCGGACAACATACAGTACTCCACAAACCATGAAGGCATTAGACGCTGAGCGTTTATCATATGTTGTTTCCCAAGTAGCCTCGAATCGTAGCGTGTATGGATTTAACTGGCTGATTACCATCATGCCATTGTTTTGCTCTGTGGCATAGATCACCCACAGCCCGGTCTCATCCACCCCCAAGTCGATGTCTGTTTTACCTCCCCACTTGTAGGGTGACGTGTCATGATAGTTTGCGTTATTGATGATGGCCTCGCCACTTTTGATTCGAGTCCGCAGGTCAAATTTCACAATGTTACGTGTCCGCTCCTTGTTGAAAAAGACAGCCCCATCGTAGACCACAAATCCAGTTCCATCCACCCGGTGAGGCAGCTTGTATGTAATGGTCTGCCGAGCATTTTTGACATCATCCAGGGAGGAATACTCAATCAAAGTGTCAGTCCTATACGGGGTCCAAGGCATGAAGTAGATTTTGTCGCCGGCTTGAAGCGGGTCTTTGCACCAGGCCCCAGCTTGTTGCTCCGCTTCAAATAGAAAGGAGGGCTCACCAACAGCTTTCAGAGTCCCAGGACAAATAAAAACTAGTGATGAAAGAAGAGTACAATGAGAAATGAGCACAGGTTAAAAAGTGAAATACAAAAAAATGCAGAACATACAATGTATTTACTAGTGTATTCATTTAGTTTTACGTGTTGTCCCCCCAAAAAGTGAGGAAAAACATATTTCTAAAAAGTGGCCAACATGGATTTAACAGCTCTATTGCCAATTTTAACAAGCAATATAACAATTTTGGTCTTGGATAATAAAAAGTAAAAATAAAATTAGAATATTTTTCAAATATATAAAGTATTATGAATCAAAGAGAAGATTGGCCTCATAGACATTTACAGTTTACTAGAGCACAAAGGAGGGAATCAGGATAGAAACAAAACAAAACAACTGATCCTGTAAACAAAAGCAATAAATAAATTAAATTAAATTAAAAATGCAGCCAAAAAATAAAATAAATGCACTTGGCAATAAGACAGTAAAAGTAATGATAAAACAGGAGTCAGTCGAGTCTGCAAAATTTATATTCTTAAATTGGTCTTAGTTTCACCACCTTTTCAACAGTGTATACCTGAAAAGGCTCTTCTTTAAAAAGTGGTGCAAATATCACAATCATAAAATTTTCAAATACTTTCACTAAGAATGTCATTGAGGTGTTTTGGTTGTTGCTCTGGGGTACAGGAGGCATAAGAATCAAGAGAGAAAAAAGAAGCAAGTGGTCAAATGGGTAATAATGGGGAGAAGAGTGAGAAGGGGGTAGCTTGGAGAAAAAAGGGACAGTAGAATGCAATAGCTTGAAAAGAGGGCCAAGAAACACTGTTACCATGGCATGCTATGAGAAAGGGTTCGGAAGCCAGGCAATATGAGATTCTGCTGAGTAGGAAAAGCACACAGGGAGAATGAGAAGAGGATGTCCCTAAGGACTGCAGCCAATACACCCCCATTTACATCATTTGGCTGCTTGTGTGCTCTTTTCTTCATGTTTTTTATGGCCAGCCTCACTTATATTTTGCGCTACTCTGGCCGTTAACATTACAGTCGGGGTGTTCTGAAGGAAACATTTACGATGTGTTTGTAGAGGCCACCATGAGAAAATAGGTCATTTACAACCAGATGCCACAAAACAAGGAGCTAGGATTTGGATCATGTCTGTTATTTACCTTTTTGCTCCACTTCTATTTTGGGCGTTGGAAGAGAGAATGAAAGGGGTGCAAGGGGGAAAAAAGAGATTAAAATGAATTAACTGTCATCGCTATGATAACATATGCAGCAACTTGTTATGAGACATGGAAACAACGATGGCTACACCTATTAAAAGCAGGAAAGTTGTGAGAAAGATGACACATAGTAGTCAAAGCTCTGTAGTAGAAAAATGAGTTAGATTAGCACATAAAAATCTTGGTCTGATCACAAATGTGCTCACGACCAACTGCCAGTGTTGATTTTCTTAGAAGTGGTGGGTGGATTTCTTTTCAACTCGCTGCCAATCTTGAGTTTGGAATATAATGAATAACAACTTACAGTTGCCATCATTGTCTTACATTAAAAAGTAATTTAATTTTATTATTTTTGTTTGTTTTTTTTGCTTGATACACTGCAAAACAATTTGAGCATAACATAAAGGATTTTTGTTATTGTAAGTAAAGTAGATCATATTTAAATCACAATATATGCATACATTATA